TACCAAATGATGATAAAGTCCTAACTTAACTAACCTAATGGGTTGTGTACGTGCATAGGCCTAAGCACGTGCATAGGCGTAGGAATTACTTTTTCTCTACCTTGAACATTGGAGTCTTCTTATAGCTATATCTTACCACTGGATTGAACCAAAAGAAAGCATCAATCTACTCGAGTTAATAATTGATCGAGTCCGTTAGGATGAGAAGCCAATGAGTGGGAAACACAAACTATACTATACTCCCTTTCTTCTAGACCAAGACATACCTGATGATAAGCAATGAATTGAGGATCCACAATGCCATGATAGAGTTTTCACATTCATACAAGAGAGACTCAGTAGGCGGATGAAGACCCAGGAGCGGGAGCCCCAACTAGAATAGGTGAATTATTAACCAACTATTCCACCTCCAAGGATGGAAAGAGTCGATTCGTCTTCGAGCATCGCTGGCAATAAACCTCATTGAGAGAGCAGCACGAACCTAGGTTGATTCTACAGGAATGGAATCATAGATGGAAGCTTAGGCAAGCCCCTTGAGACTGACTAAGTAAGGAGCAACGGCTACCCACTCTGCCTTTCCTTCTGATGAGGATTCAAGTGTACTAACTAAGGTGATCTCTTTCATTCTCTTTTCAGTTTCTCCATCCCCCTTTCTCTAATAAGGTTGAGCAATTCCCGATCACTCGAAAAGAAGTTTATCTATCCAAAGGGGTTGGAGTCATTTGAGAGTGAGAAACATAATGACTTTTTTCAAATAAATAGATAGAAGAGGCTTTCTCGATACGAAAGAAAAGGCCTAGCCTGCATACATATATATACAAATAGCATTGCATTAGTTGTTGCTTGCTGTATCTTACTGATGCAACAAAGGAGGGTCAGACTGTACCACTTTTCAGATGCAAATAGGTGCCCCTTTTGCTGCTCCTCTTATTCCATTACCGATTGCTTCTAGCGGTGGATAATAGGAAAACCTCTCTCGTAGACCGAGTATATCAAGAGTTCCAGAGTCCCTATTACTATTTCTGAGCTATCTTTTGATTCGATGATTCGACCTCTTGGAGAGCAAGAAGACAATGAAAAAGAGGTAAGAAAAGCCAATAGGAAGAGCGCCATCATACCAATAATAGAAGGATTGTGAGGCTAATAGGCCCGCCCATAGCTGACCCTTGTTTTGGTGGGGTGAAAGGACGGAAAGGGGAGTGAATGGGGTCCGCTCCATTAGCTGATTGCTACCATGTCTAATGAACGCTGGCTTACGTCCTTTTAAGCTAAACTATTTTTTTCTTTTTTTTATAAGGAATCTTCATCCATTTCATTTCAGGCTAGGTTTGAACGGACATAGGGCATCTTCGGGTTCGGGTAACAATCGACAAGCATAAGCTGACATTACGTGAGAACCTATGGTTTCAATCTAGACATGCTCACTTTGATACTCTATTTTTGGGACATCTGTGTTAGGTAGGCTCAGAGATCACTGATTAGTCAAATGAGCCCATATCCCACTCAAAAGCCTATCTCAAACGAATATTTGAGCGAATGCAGAAACATCCACTAAAAAGGCATCTGCTTAAGCTCCAAGTCAAACAAATGGGCTTTCAGCTGGGAACTTCCTGGGTTTCCTCGTCCACCAAAGGGGAGTGGAGGTTGATAAGAACAAAGCCCGAGTCATCATGGAAGCTGCCCCACTGAGCAATAAGAAGGAACTACAACAGTTGTAAGGGAAGGTTCATTTTCTACGAAGATTCATCTCTAACTTAGCCAGGAAGACGTGATGTGCTTTTTGCCTTGCTGAAACTAAAAGGGTCGGAGGAATTCGTATGGGAAGAAAGGCACCAAGAGGCCTTCGAAGCTATCAAGAGGAATCTGGCAAGACCCCTAGTGCTGATGCCTATGTACATAAAAGTGGGAAAGGAAAGCTCTACGGTTGTACATCTTAGCGGCCGAGGAGGCGATAGGAGCTTTTCTAGTACAAGAAAATGAACACAGAAATGAGCAGGCTAGCTATTAACTCAGTAGGGTTTTAAGAACCGCTGAACTTCGCTATTCTCCTATTGAAAAATGTTGTTTTTCCTTGCTGCAACTAAATTAAGGCATTACCTTCTATCTTTTGTAGTTGTAGTGATTTGAAAAACGGTTGTAATCAAATTCATGTTGTCTCGACCGATTTTAAGGATATACCAGCAACAAGGATTTTCTCCGTCCTGCCGAGCGAAAGACTCATAGTCCACCGTACTGACTTACAGGGAAAGGTATAATCACAAAAAGGAGCAATGTCAACACCTCTGCTAGAGCAAAAAAAATCCTTCGACTGGCCAAGAATTAAGATTCCTTTCATTTTTCTATGTGGGGGATCAATCCCCTGCTCTTAAGGACTCTTAGTTTGGAGTAAGGAAATGTCGTAAAGCTCCTGCCTCGAGGACTGCAGATCGTGCTCAAAAAGGACTCACCTATAAAGTCTTGACACATCCATCCCATAATCTCTTCCCAGCTTCTTCTAACCCAAGGCAAATTATATTTCTCGTAAAGAGAGTGCCAAATCCGCTCAGAAAACGGGCAGGAAAAGAAGAGGTGGTCAAGATTTTCAACCTCTTGATGCATTGATACCTGGTGTACATTGAACATTTGGAACTAAACCATAATCCTGAAGCTTTTCCTGAGTGTTTAACCTATCTCGAATTGCAAGCCATAGAATCATAACATGACGTGGAATAGTTTTTTTTTTTGTGCCAAACTATCTGATACCAACCAACCGTATGGGCATAAGGACGAATACTCTCCCAAGCATTCTTAACAGAGAACTTTCCCCGAAGGATCTCCCGGATAGAGAATCAATCCATTTCTGTCTAAAACTCCCTCGGCAGGTAAGAAATCTATTGATCGATTAGTGGGTGGATTTAAAAACCTTTACGCCTACAATAAGTCATGGTTGGGCCACGCAAATCAACTAAACAGCTTGGCATGCATACATCAAGACAGATAACAAGGGAATAAGGACATTGCATTCAGTAGTATTCTTATGAATCTATCCAATAGACAAGTGGGTGGAAACCAATGTAGGATAAGCTACACGAAATGCTTTCTTAAATACAGGCACCTTCCAATTTGATCCAAAAGGCTATCTTGGAAGAAAGGCTTTTTTTAGCTAAGGCGCTATGAGATAAAAGCCATCTTTATGGCTAGTGGCTTGCTCAGAAGATAGAGTCTTTCCTTTACGATTACAATATACTTTTTTTAATATAAAAACAAATGTAACACTACCTTGCATTACCTTATATAGGATAGAACCTGGGTTTGCATTGGAATGCATTTGCCCCTTAGGAGATCGCTCTCTAGCATGAACCATGCCCTTGGTCTATTCCCGATGGATCAGTATCTTGGTTTGCCACTACAGCAATCTCTGGCATCACCGCATCAAAAACTTTCTTGTCTTGAGGTTACTTGGCATCTGAGGTTGACTCAGTCGATAGAGGAGAACAAAAATTGTCATGACTCCTCAAGATGACTTGCTCTTCTTTCTGCTGGTTTTGAGGAGTAGGGATCGCCTGACCGTGCTTTGGAACCCATTGCTCTTTAATCTGGGGCTTAAGCGGGCAAGCATTGGTGCCACACAAACAATGTTGAGTGAAACTGGGAAATAGAGTACTCCCTAGACACGACAGACATGAATCCTTACTTCATCAAGAAAGGAGACGAAGAGCCACAAACCTAATTTCCTGTGCCGGAGGAGAACCAGAAAGAAGTAGACCTTGATCCATGGCTGGGTGCAGAGGAGGTAGGGACGGAGAAAACGTGTTTCATACGCCAGCGGTCGAAGATCGGCGAAAGTTGGTCTACTCCTATACTATATAAAAAGCGAGTGGTGACATCGTAAGAAAAAAGCATTTTTTTAAGTATTATTCTCAAAGCTAGAGATTCAAGTAAGAACCATAGAACTTTATCATCATCGGTCAAGTGAGGTTCGCCCTACTCTGAAACTCGCTTATTCCTCTCTAACATTTTCTTCTGTCAATTCCTTTTTAACAGTTAGTTACCGGCTTTGAATAATGCTACCAAACTCTGTTTGCTCAATGAAAAGTGAAGTTAGTCTACCCACATCATCAAAGAAGATATGATGATGCTACCTTTTGCGAATGATGACAGTACGGTGATTTCGGCTTTTCAAAAGGGTGACATTGTAGGTTAGATTCCTACTTTTTGAAGGTCTATAGTGATGTTATGTTAGAATGACAATTAAGTAGTTACAGTAGTATGCCTATAGCCTCATTCATTGACGTAGATAATGAGATCACACTCTTGTTGACTACCTACTTCTAGTGCGACAGAGAATGCAAGCAAACAGAGTCGTCGCTGTTAACTACCAGTGAAAACTTTTTTTCACCGCTCGTTGTCCCCTATGTTGACGAAAGGGGCAGAGAAGTTCAGGTAAAGCAAATCCATTGCTTGCCATTAACGATTCCTAACCACGTTCATTTGTTGTATGATCAATAGGGAAGGGGGGAGAACTGGTTAGTCAGGGAAAGGGCTCAGTGCAAGCCTCCCCTCTCCCTCAAAAAGCAAAAAGGGCAACGCCCTGTGAAATTGTACTAAAAGGGAGACAAATTCCCCTTTCGTGATCGACGCGCATTCTAGTGTCCAATGGTAAACATAATGGCAATGCATTGGACCACTTCTCAATCTTTCCTTTCCGTCTTTCAGTAGCGGTATCTCTGCCCTGGCGGCTTGGGAAAGGAATTTGAACCAAATCTATGCATATAGTCAAGGCGTGCACGGAACGAGAGGCTCTCATTTGAGCGCAGTGGTTGTTCAACCCCGTTTCAAGAGGATTCCCCTACATGATCGGTAGGTCCGCTAGAAGTGCCTCAGCTAGTGAAGTAATTTAGCCTCGCGCCAGCCTACTTACCAGCCAAACTTGCAATCGCTCTATCTAAAATGGCCGCAGAACTCATTTACGTGGTTGTTCGCCTTTGGATCTTCACTTTAATAGTTGTCTAAGATAGCAGCGGCGGTAGATTGGGGAATGCTAATCTCTTGGAGGAATTCAAATCTTTCCAGGAAAGCCTCTTCTTTTTAGTCTACATCAAGTGGATTCTTCACTCGGACAAATCTAGAGATCGAATTCTGGAGAAAATTGATTGTATGCTAGTTGGTGAGGAGGCACTGTCTTTTGTCAAGGTCAAACTGCAAAGTGCATCCTAATTCGATATTAGACCACCGCCCCTTGGAAGGATTAACTTTACTTGACTTGACTTGACTTGATAGGGCTCCTATCCTTTCTAAGGTCCTATCTTGTTCAGATTAGAATGGAACTGGTTGCTTGCACCCCGAATGCAAGGAGATTGTAAACCAGGAATAAAAACCAAATCGACATCGAAGACAAGCTTAGTCTTCTAAAATCCACATGGAAGGTATGGGTGAGGAGCAATCACATTAGTGAAGTCAGAGAAAAAGAAGAGTGGTAGTCAGATGAAATAAAAAAAAAAGCGGAGATACTTCTGATCAGACTATGGATAGAGAAAGAAGCGGAGTCTATCTATAAGCTACAAAGCCTCAAGAGATTAGAAGAGAGAATCAGACAAAAATCAAGGAGGGGAGTGATAAAATATTACCCATTTTTGAAATCAAAAAAGAGGATGGTAACACTCTCCACTCCCAAGCTAAGATGAAATACTATGCTAAGCTAAGAGAGACTTCCAAGATCTGTTAACAGAGGAAGGCAACGCTAGCAGGCAGGCACAGGACTCTATCTTGATGAATGTGAACTCCAAACTCCACTAGCCCTAATCTCAGTAGTAGGATAAGTTGCATATGATTTTTTTGAAAAATCAGAATAATAGGAAAAGGCCTTCAGCTCCGGGTTCCCAATCTTTTTCAAGAATTCTGGCGACTGATTGAGGCCAATCTGCTAACTCACGTGGATAATATAAGGAAACCTGGTCAGATGAGGGGCCAATAGTACTTTCCTCACTTGAATTCCAAAAGAGGTTAGTCCCAACCGACTATCTACATTCAGGCCAATTTCTTTTTGTAATAAACAAATCTCAGCCAAAAGGATTTAAAATAGAATCAAGAGAATCATGGACAAGCAAAGCTTGGTATGGGGCTCGCAAGAACAGGTCGCATTCATTCGGGAGAAAAATCTTTGCTCCAGCTTAAAGAATCTGTCCACCCCCGTTATGACTTACAGCATCTCTCCCAATTGAAAAAGGAGACAGAGAGACTGGTTTACTTGACATGGCAAACGCCTATGATCGTTTGAATCACACGTTCTTATTCATAACTCTCCTCAAATTTAGCTTCTCTCGAGAAATGGTAAACTTGATCAAAGCATGTATCAATGGGCCTTGGATTGCCTCGTCAACGGCACTTATCGACTCTAAGGTAGATTTCTTAAAGGCGAGTCGTGGAATTAGGCAAGGATGCCCCCTTTACAACGGCCTCCTACTTGTTCATTCTTATCACAGATTCTATCAGCAAGCAAGTATCTGAACTAGGGTATAAGCCTAGGGCAATCAAAAAGTTTGAAACTCACCCTAAATGTTCAAGCAGTTAACCACGACCGCTGAATAGAAAACTGCACGGATAACAATCATAGAGGAAGCGAGCGAGTGTGTCGGGGTAAGGGCTAGGTTCTTTAGGCTATAAACCTTTTCTGTAAAGTGATAAATTTCAATAAGAAAGAGCAAGGCAAGGTTTAATCCCGCAACTCAAAGGAAACTATAAGGTTCAGCAAGCTCATTTTTTACTCTAAGGAACCGATCTAGCACCTTTGAATCCCCATCCAAACTAAGGAGTTCGAGAAAAAAGACTGGGTGGAATAAAATTCGAAGAAAGATTCACTTATTGTTAAGATTAGATATGTCAACAGATAGATGGTTGTCCTTTGTAGAAAGGGATAAGCTAGTAAAATCGACTTGCCACACGCCAGTCTAAAGAGCTTACCTGCTAGCGATTCCCAAAGGCCAGAAGAATGAAATAAGATGGTCAGGAAATGACTCTAGGTGGGAAGTCAGGGTAACGTTTGGAACCCTGGTGAACTGGGAAGAATTCATTCAACCGAGAGATGCAGGAGGTCTGTATATCAGGAGTGCTTTCAGGGCAAGTCAAGCGCTTGCGGCCAAGTAGTACTGGAGACTAATTACAGTACAGAAGGGTCTTTGGAAGGAAATTATACTCAGCAAATATTACCCTTCGATGAATCAGAAAGACATTGCAAATGGAGCTAGTCTCCGATTTGGAAGAATATAGCCAGAAGCATAAATTGATTATCGGGGCAGGGACGAATTCGTGAAATTGCAAACTGCCTCGGAAGAGAACAACATGACTGGCAGAGCAACTAATAGAAGTGGAAGAGAATAAAATCTTAACGCTAGTAGAGTTCAGAACAAATGAAGCAAAATAAAAAATTGAAGCAGAGTGACTGCTCCCGATTCATCTTGACCCCCAACCCTTTTACAGTTCCAGAAGTGACAGAGATGCAGAGATCTTGGCGAGGCTCTTTACTTTAGAGGGGGCGATCTAGAGGAAAAGGAATAAGAAAGAGGAGGAACGAACACCTACCCAAAAAACAAGATCAATGGCAATAGCAGCAAGGTGAAGGTTATTTCCTTCCTGCACGGCACCCAAACCCACATAGATTTGAATTGGCACAGGATCTAGATCAAATAAGAACCTTACTGTTGAACAAGTGGATTGACCACTTTTATAAATAGAGTAAGGCGGAGAGGTCCCCTATTCTTTCTGGAAGGCTTGATCAATTATGACGTACTAGGTTAGGTTACCGAATGGATCTCGGGTGGACTAGAGTAGAGAAGAGAAGGGTGGTCATACATTAGGATCTCCAAGGTGTGCATGAGCAAGGGGCATAGCAGAGTAAGGTGAGCATCATAGGTGAACATGCTACTGTAAAGAAAGTCAAGCAGGTCTTTTGAGTGAGGTGCCAAGGGGCGAAGGTTGAAGAATGATTCTAGCTCAGCTGGCATCAGGATTTCATTTCACACTAGCCCAAAGGCAAAGATAAAGAACCCTTAATCAAAATAAAGAACACCTTATCTATAGTTATAGTATAGTAAGGGGCCTTTTTCATTTAATAAGGCTCTCGTAGGGGCACATTAGCGCTTTACTATTAACATAGAAAGGGGCAAGCTAAAACACAACCTACTCTTAACTAGTTGCTAAGTTCGGCTTTCGGGGCTACCTACTTTAGGGCTTATGTAATACATAAAGAAGAGCCCTCCTAGGGCCTTTTTGTTTAAGGGATGCTCACCTTTTGAATAGAAGGAAGTGGGATAACGGAAGTAATTTCGATAAACCGATGCATGAGCTAAGGCCCCTATGTCCCGCCGACCCTCCAAAAAAGTCAAGTCGAAAAATGGCTCTTAGCGAGTCAGAAGCAGGCAGAGTCAAAGGTGGGTCAAACTCACATAAGCAGAGGGGGAGACACATTCATGAAAAGCGAGAAGCCGTAAAGCTTTACTAATAGGGGGGGACTGACCAACTATGAATAGATCTTACTTACGGGTAAGAGTAGGAACATCTATTAGTCTGTATCGTCGGTCTACTTGTTACAAAAGACGAACATCCCCATTCCAAAACATTCACATAGGTTCTCGGCAGGCATCGAAAAGGGGATGAAAAGAGTCTATTTACCTTTTTCATCTTTAAAAAAAATAGTTCTGCATCTCTCCGGGGCTGGGGGAACAAATAGGCGTGGGGAAGAGGGAGAGAGGGGGCTACGAGCCCTTTCCCGTTGTTATTCACAGACTACCCATCCCTTTCTTCCCCTTTGCCTGGATCGGTGAGATCATCTTTCTCGAACGAAGTGAAGTGATAGGAAGAGAAGACTACTGGCGGGAGATCTCTATTCATTAAACCCCCTTGTATAGTAAGGGGAAAATGAAAGTGCGCTCCTGCGCACCAACTGAAGAAAGGAACTTTGGAAGCTTACCTTATTCTTATTAAAAGGGGAAAGGGACCCAAACCTATCTTACTGATAATAAGAAAGGGGCAAGCTAAAACAAAACCTACTCCTAACAAGTTGTTGGATCGAAGTAGGATATTCTCCATCTGCCCGCTAGCAGCAGAGGGGGTTCAATTCCCGTTATATGCAATGTGGCGAAAAAGACTGATTCAACGAGATACGCCTTGCCTACATTAAGATTTAAAAATTGTCGTCTACTTTTAGGAAATGTTTGGAACAGAGAACTTACAATAATACAACGCCGTATTCTCCGAAGATTGAGGAACAAGAAGAGATCTATTCAGAGAAAGATTTATTCTAGAGAAAATCTTAACAGTTACATCCAATCACAAACTACACGAAAGTTGCCCATTTTTCATGGAGATTTACCCACCACAGAGACGCATAGAAGAACATAACAAACTTCATATATCCCTTTTCTATTCAATCCAAAAACAAGATCGGACGTTATTCTGGTTCGTCTCCATTTTCGTGAAACTATTCCTTAAGCCAGGCAGCCGATAAGTCATCGAAGGGTTTGTGTAAATAATGGAATGGTAATCATTAATCATTTTAAAGTGTCCCACGGTGATATAATATCTTTTCAAGAAAATGATGCGAGAACCCGCGGTGAAGAAATAAGGAGATCTTTCTATTTTGAAATATCAGTTGAAAAAATCATAGGCAAATTCCTAGATCACCCGGTAAAAATGTGGAGAAAAACCAAAATTGAATGGTTCCGCCTACTCAAAACGAAGAGGGGATGCTGCCTACTACTAAAATCCCGGTTTTTGCAACAGTTGCGTTCTTCTATGCAAGAAGAAGACTTAGAAAGAACAAAGAAGTTTGGATCCGAAAAAGTATGCTTAGGAAGTTCTTTCGCTGAGCACAACAGAATGAAGAGGAATTTGTATAATTTCAAATCCCTATTCTTATCGAAGAGAAGGAACGAGAAAAACCTAAATCTTCCTACTCGAATAAGAAGTCCTATAGTTTACAACTCTTCTTTATATAGTAATTCGACCTATTGCTCCGCATCCCCCCATCAGTTTACTATGAAGAGAAAAAGAAAAAGGATCGAACTACCTACTCATTATTCGGAGGTGAATCATAGAACACCAAAAGCAGTGGTATCTTATGGACCTAACATTGGTCACATCCCTCACGACATAAGATTGAAAGATCCAAACCTTCTTCTTCGGAGCGGAAACGGACGTGGCCAAAACATATAAAGATCAGTGCAGTCGCTCATAGGGACATATCTATCCGGATAGAGGATAGTCTAGATCGATTCATAGATAGATCTCTCTCCATATAGATAGGTATCCATCTAGATCTTGATTCACTATTTCCATTTTTTTCTTGATTCTGATTGATTACCTTTTTTTGACGACAAGTTTTAAATCTTAATGCAGGCAAGAAAACATCATTTTTCAATTATTAATTGCTGGGTCGGAGTGTAGACGAGCGAGCAGAGCCTAGGAAACAGGGAAGCCCGTCATAGAATAGTCGACTAAAAGTAGAAGACTATTGGCTTGAGAGAAGGCGGCCTCTCTCGGGAAACATGGCCCAATTTCTCTTCTTTCTTTTTTCAAGGGCCCAAACGTTAAAAGGTAGGGGAGAAGGAAGCCGAACCTCTGATCGACCTGGACACATAAAAAATTCCTTTCATTCCGAGTCAAGGTCGAGAGAGATTCAAGATTCCGTAAGTAACTCAGTGAGTGCTTTCTAAGAAGGGCTTGGCTTGGAAGAAGAAAATGAAATACGAACAACCGCGCTGGTTGTAATAGATCAACTTTCATGCTAGTTCTTGCTCCAACATGAAAGTTCCATTTCAGGGAAGGACGACGTACTATGATACTTTCTGTTTTGTCGAGCCCTGCTTTGGTCTCTGGTTTGATGGTTGTACGTGCTAAAAATCTGGTACATTCCATTTTGTTTTCCATCCTAGTCTTTTGTAACACTTCAGGTTTACTTCTTTTGTTAGGTCTCGCTTCTTCGCTATGATCTTCCCAGCAGTTCATATAGGAGCTATAACCGTTTGATTCCTATTCGTTGTTATGATGTTCCATATTCAAATAGCGGAGATTCACAAAGAAGTATTGAGGTATTTACCAGTGAGTGGTATTATTGGACTGATCTTTTGGTGGGAAATGTTCTTCATTTTAGATAATGAAAGCATTCCATTACTACCAACCCAAAGAAATACAACCTCTCTGAGATATACGATTTTTGCCGGAAAGGTACAAAGTTGGACTAATTTGGAAACATTGGGCAATTTACTTTATACCTACTATTCTGTCTGGTTTTTGGTTCCTAGTCTTATTTTATTAGTAGCCATGATTGGGGCTATAGTACTGACTATGCATAGGACTACTAAGGTGAAAAGACAAGATGTATTCCGATGAAATGCTATTGATTTTAGGAGGACTATAATGAGGAGGACGACAGACCCACTCACGATCTACTAAAGGGTAAATAGCTTGATATTGGTTCAAATCCAATTCACGAGATGGCAGTGATCTTTAGCTGGTCATGGCCATAATGTGCTCTTTTCCTTGGATTCATTGGAACCTTCTTTTTCAAACCCCAGGAAAGGTAGTGTTTAAATAGTTCCAAGTTCGCGGGTTAAGCAAGGGTTGGTCGAGCTTCCCGAACCTAAGAGACCAGATGAAGTGGGACGAGTAGGAGATCCCAAATACTGGTAATTCCATTGGGTTTTTAGTCATCCGATAGAAGATTGTTGGGTTCTTAAAGATCAGATCCAAAAGTGATGAAATGAGGGTGTCATTGAAATAGACCCTCCTAAGCAACCTGTGGTCACCTCAAATCCGGTATTTGTAATAGTTGGAGATATTCTTTTCCTATTCTAGCACCGAAAAAGCCATTCCAGAAGAAGACAAAATCTCAAAATATGATGAAAGATATATTCAAGAAGAATGGAGCACTCGTGTTAGCTGAAGGAGTAGGAAGCGCCAACGACGATTGATTACTATGTAGGCGGCCCTTGAGACGAGGTTTTATCATAAAAAAAAAAAAGAATAAGCATCGTTAGAACGATCCGAAGAAAGTAGGCAGGGGGCAAAGACCAAAGAAAGAGCAAAGGAACATTGACTAGAAGGGGCTCACCTAGTGAGTATATGAATTTCGTGTCTAAGTTTCCAATAACTCTCAAGGAGTTTATGCCACCTGAGTTAATGGACATCCCAGGCATTGAAAGCCTGTCATGTCGGGTAATTCAAGTGCTTGATGACTCGGCATATCCAAGTCACATAGCACCTATTCTCCCTATAGATGAGTAATGAAAAGCTCTCAAGCTGAACAATGAAGCTTTGTATTCTGATTGAACAAAAAAAAGAGTCTACGAACCAGGGGAAGAATTTCATGTCCAAGTTACTGATGATTCCGTAGAACTTGTGATAAAGGAAGCAATGGGGGAATTGCCTGAAGAAGTTGACAATAAAGAGGTGATGCCTTTATAGAGGAGGGTAGCTAAGGGTGTGGATGAAAAATGAGAGATAGACAAGCCACTTCACCTCAAGATACATCCAACGATGCACAAGAATCAGATTCCAACCAACTCTGAAACTCCAGAGAACCAAACAAGGCCTGCCTTTCCTCTCTTTAAGTACGGTTACCTATTTCCACATCCAAATCTTTGTCAAGCTGGACCCTGATGAGGGATGGGAATGGCTGAATCCGTCTGCCCTTTTCTTCGTACGCAAGTAAGCAACTGGCCTTAGATTGTATCGAGCTACAGGCCCTTCTCATAAGTTGTTTTAAGCTACGGGCCATAAAATCTCCGACGAAGCTTAAATGAGGCATCAAGAGCTAAGAAGGAAGCCAACCCAAGTGGATAGATATAGATCTTATGTGCTATGAACTTCCTTTGTGTATGGAGAGTGTAATAAGGAGTGAAACAGCTTGACCACAGGGAAAGGTATTCTTAGTACTAAGGAATGAAACAGCTTGACCACAGGGAAATGAGATTTCTCTTTCTTTTGAAGTTTAAAGAAGCTAAGGAAAGAAAAGACTAGATTTGGTTGCTGCTGTTGTTCCTCGTAGCTAGATGGTTTGGAGTAGCTAGGTTGCTATCCTAGTATCGAGGTTGTTTGTAGTAGGAATTCCTATCTGAGTTGCTAGTGAGTTCTCTCTTGTTGGCTTTCTAGTTCTTCAAGGTTATAGAAACGTAGACGAGCATCTTGTCTCTTATCATCTTTCATCTTCTCTTCTAATCTTCTCCTATAGGGCTAGAGCTTCCCTTCCTTCATAAGCTAATAAGAGATTCTATTATTCTATAATATGACTTGTATTACTTGTATTTCTTCTCCTAGTTAGTTCTCTACCAGTTATGTCTTAGATGTTTGCTAAGCTCTTTATGAACGAAATGAGACTATTACGGTCGGGTAGAAGCACTAACTTTCTGTCTATTGGCCCATTGAGGAGGTTAATGACTACAATGAGTGAGTAGCCTCCACTAGGAGGAGATGAAAGAGCTGCTTGGCATCCCTCGTGGTTGGAATGAATTCGTGCATTCATGCCCAATTTTCCGCTCATAGGCTCAGTAGGAGATGCCTCTGAATCATCATCAGGGATATCCAATGGAGCCACGAGAACCCCATTTCCCTGCCTGTTCAAGGCACCTTTGTATGAAACTTCTGCGTTGCTATTGGCCCGTCCCTTTTCAACCCATGATAACTATCATGAAATAAAATATTGAATCCTCATTCTAATCTAGGTAGTCATCCACTTTGAATCGAATAGTAAGTCAATCCGTACTCCAGACTATGGTACGTGTCGTACCTACTAATCTGTCTACATGGTTCATTGGCCGGCTTCCCCACTACTAATGACGAACCCCCTGTATTCCCATCAAGACTCCTAGCCTTTGACCATTCGGTTTGAGCCGAACTTTCTTTTGAAAATGCTAACGAAGAAAAATGAGGCCTCCTCGGGGAACCAGTAGAAAGGCTCTCAAAAGCAAGCGCATACCAAGCCAAGGGCTAGGGCTTTATCCGAACAAGGACTCCTGCGGGATAGAAGAGAGGGCTTCCACAGAGTCTAACGGAGGAAAAAGAGAAGTAGTATGCTCGGTAGAGCGAAGGAAAAGCCTTCAGAAAGCGGGGGTAGGCCGGGAGAAAGAAGTCGGGAAGCGACATTACGTTGAAGGATCTCGAAGGTGGTTGAAGACACATTCCTTATTCTCTCTTTCTTTGAATTACTCGATCTTTTTTACTATTCAAATCACTCTTTTCTTTATCCGTTCGAGAAAGCTCATTCGGGATGCTTTGATCCTTCTTTCATTCTTTAGAGGGGAGTCAGTCGTCATGGAAAAAGCATAACAGATTTACATTTGTGGACCTAAAAAGGGGGTCAACGTGCATGTCATATACGATGGAATGAGATAGATCCCATTCTAACCCCCACCTGGCTGCTCAATACCAACCATTAGAGGTGTGGAAGATGGATCAAACTTCCCAAGGGGATAGGAACGTACTGAATCAACGGGCAGGCAGACAGGACTTTAGCGAACGAGTAATCTCCAATTCCCGCTAATCACTCTACTCCTCCTGCGAACCATTGATGAGCCAGCCGAGCTTGTTTGTTTAGTTTGGTTTTGTCTTTCTCTGAGTAATGCCCTAAGGTTTGATATCTGGGGTCAAAAAATGAGCTAAGTGCCGAGCGAAGAACCGTGCCAAGGTGAGTACAGGGATGTGGTGAAGCATACCGAGAGAAAAAGCACTGAAATGAACCATATCAAGCACGAGTCTCACTCTACAAGTTCAGTTCGATGCCTTTTAAGGAGATTTGATCTAACAGGGAACAAGACTGAAGTGATCCCGAGCAGAAGGGAGGACCCTTAATTCGTGGGCTGAGTTCAAATAATATGCACTAAGTACTCGAATATAGTAATAGAGAGGGGTAACGACTAGGGAGTTGTAAGACTTTTGTGCTAGTTCAGTTCTTCTGATTCAACAAAGTACTCGTACTCAATTAGCAGAGTTGTTGACCATAGATAAGGAGTGGCACGTACGCACGTATAACATCATTTCATGCTGCCTTTTTCTTTCTTATTCCCAAAGCAAGCATCTTTGCCCACTTACCAGCCTCGCTCGTAGGCCTAGCCCACTACCCCACCTGACTGATTTGTCTTAGAGGGTACTGTTTCAAGTTGTAAAACCACTCTGTTACTAGAGGGAGAAGATGAAAGCACAGCCATACAGAGAGGTTTGTAAGGCAAAGAGGGCGAGTGAAAGGACTCAAGCAAGGCCCATACCATCCAGTCATGTCTCTTAGTCTGAGGGGGCGCCAGAAAAGGGGGATAGAAGAAGCACCCCGACAGGGAAGGGAAGGACGTGTCTGGTGGACAAGTACCTTAAGTGACAGTTCAATCATAATCTTAATAAGTAAAGGAAATCATTTTGTGTCCATCTACGGAAGAAGGATCGTCTCAAAGAAAATTTTGATTCTAGGTCCAGATGTGGTAGAAAGAAGGGCTTAAGACAAATAAGGAATAGTAAGAGTTAATAGACTGCCTCACTAATAATCTTCCGTATCATACTAATGTACACAACTAGAAAAGGGGCAACAACTTTTTTTAAAAGAAGGAACCATGGGATTCACCGGGCTAGGGGTAGAAGGAAATCACGGGGATGTCCTATTCCCCTATCTGTATATTGTAGTAATTGGTATTTCACTTGGCGCACTTGCTCTCTCAAGATGACATCATAGAAAGATTTAGGTCTTCCTGATCCCAGTCTTGTGCATCTCTTCTTAGAGGGTAGTATTGAGAAGGCGTGGGCCCATTGAAAGCCAAGGGAATAATTCCTTAAACAGATAAAAAATAGTAAAGTCCAAGGGGGTATGATCCCAATAAAGAAAGAAAGAAAGAAAGATAGGATGGATTTTCAATAATTGTGGACGAAGCAGTGGGCATACTAGAAATGGATTGTCAGTAATGGTAGATGGAACAAGGATGCATAGCAAGCTTAAAACACGACACAAGTAGGACGCGTTGAGGCTGAGCTTTCCTTTGCTACTCATTGGAGCTAGCAAACTCATTTTTCCGTTGAAGGCTTCCACTATCAGGGCGGCCTTTGCGAGCGATATTCACTTTCAAGAGTCATTAGCCTATGCCTATACTCTCGAAGAGTTCATCAAAGAGCCAAGGGATGAGAGGAGGTGGAATTTCTTTCAACTAGAACATTTATTACAACATCTTAAAACACTTAATATTACAAAAAATGACAGAGAATTCGGATAGTTTGGGTAAGAGTAGGAGATGAGCTTCGGGACACAACGAAGCAGATCCGTCTGCCCTGCTTAATGCAACAATCTATTCTCTGGCCGGAGCTATTAAATCAAAGTCTCATAGAAGTCTTCCATACTCCCTTTTTTGAAATACTAATTCTTTCTTTCCGCGAACTTTTCTAGTGTTAAAAGCCAAAGGAAAAGGAGAAACTAAGAATCGAGTTGGAGAAGCCCGCAATCAATCCATCTACATAGAAAGGAGAAACAAGAAAGGAAAGGCTCAATGTTGAATTGAGATCTCATTAGTCCGGTAAAGATCGAGTCCAGTTATAAAGGGAAGAATATCAATAGAATGGCTGAACAATATGACCAGTTCCATCGATGCTAGCAGGGGATTTCCATGATTTCTTTAGGTTGGAAGATAGAAGGAGTTTCAAAAAATGACACTACGTCTAATCGTAGGAGAGCTGAGAAGTTTGCATCAAATTTCATCATTGTAGTCTAATGGATTTGGCATGCAGTAGTCCTAGACCACTTGGACCAATGGTAGGGAAGGGTTAGCTAAGACGCTGTTTCGATTGGATCTAGCCTTAGTAAAGTACAAGTTGAAAGAGATTTTACCATAAGCTATGGTTGGAAACATCCCTCGTACCACCTCAGACTACTATCTTATGATCATTTACATGGAAGGTATGCATTCTGCTAAACCCTCTAATCGTCCCTTCAGATGTGAAGCTGTCTGGTTCTCTCATCCGCACTTTACAAAGATTATTTTCAATACCTGGGAAAAGGAAAGGGTTTAAGTTATATAAAAGCCTCTAACTTAGATAAAGACAATAATGTCTTCTAGTTGTGTCTGCTTATAGGTTAGTGCCCGTAGGGAGTTCCTATTACAGAAAGGGATAGGATTAGGAGGCTTTGCATGCAGACTAGTAACATCTCTTAGATGGCTGCCTTCTACTTACATAAGGACTCACCCTAGGAAAGGATTTGATTCATACCTAGACTAGTCCTACCTTCTGCTTTTGAACCTCCTTATTTAATACCCTTTGAATAGCTACAAAGAAAGAAAGACTTCAATTGAGTCACGACACGAAAAGAATAGAAGCTTTCTCATTCGAGTTAGGAACTTAAAGAGAGGGAAAAAGCTCTTAGATTAGAAAGGGAAAGGACATGAGTCTCACTCTTCACTTCTTGGCTGGGAGTTGATTCCCGGAGTGACGGAAGAATAAAAGTAGCGGTGGGAAGACTCCTGATGCTTTCAGGCTTATGTTGGGGTTAACTGAACCCAAAGAAAGCCTAAAAGAATCCCTATAGTCCAGCTTAACAAGGTTAGTGTAATATGCTCGACTAAGGGGAAAGAGGAAAGGAAAGAAGGTTAGCCGAGCACAGATCTGGGCTTAAGGCAAGGAGTGGACTGATAGCACTAGTCGAAGAAAGACAGTTAGATCATAAGAAGGCGGGTAGGTAAGAATAGGAAGTTTAGAGGAGTGAAGGGGTTTACGAGGGACTAAAACACAGTTAGCTAAGTATATTGTATTCCAATATAACAATCTAACTAGGGTTGTAAAATCTTTGACTTTTGGAAGAAGGTTTGGTAAAGCGAAATTTCTAACTTCATCTGTAAGAGAAGAGTACAGAGTAGCTAGAAAGTTTAACTCTACTGAAGGCATTGGCAAGACTAAAAGCACTAAAAGTAAGGTAAGGAAGGTTGCCAGCTTGACTTTGCCTCCACGGAACGGAGGTCATCCAGTTAGCTTAGGAGACAAGCTCTTGGGGTGGGGAGGATAGGAAATTAAAACGAATCAGTCCGGTAGAAAAGTATGTAACTGGTACCAAGACTTTACTTCTAATGCAGATAAGCAGAAGCTAACTCAAAAATCTTTGTGGAGTTAACGTTGACCCAGTGGCTAGAAGTTCCATTTCAAATGGATTGACTAAGAGGATCTTGAGCCATATAGGAAAGATTCCTCACCAAGGTTCAGAGATGCTGACACAACGTTTGAAGAAAGCTCAACTCATAGGGTTGGGGGCAAGACTCAACCTCTAAACTCTAAACCAAAGATTCTCCTTTAGTAGATTTGTAGCAAGGAGATTCCTCAATAAAATCTTTATTCTGAAAGAACTAAAAAAGGAGTGGGGTATTCAAATTCGACCGAAGCAAAGGTTCTTTTCCACAAGTACTAAACCGGGGCATAATGCCCTTTTCTTTCATCACAGGAAAGTAGGGTAGGGAACTGGTCTTTTGGATATGTCTTACCGAAAAGAAGCTCGACTGAAAATAGGTGCTAACTCGATCCCGATTCTCTTTCAAAGGAGGTGCCATATCCCGCGAAGGGTGAGAAAGACGTGGCTAACTCGACAGAGGAAGGAGCTATCACAAGGGAAGGAGAGCGTGGGCTCAGCCAAAGACAGAGGATCTGTATAGGATAAACTGTAGGGAGAGAAGATGAAAGATTCTCAACTTATACAGAGGACGGGGCATACCCTAGGACTTGTTAACTCAACCTTAAAAGTTGTTCTCTTATAAAATTAGCTAGGTAAGAAATGGGAGAGTCGACTTGGCTTGGATTATCC